TTGGGTTTTATTAACTTTCCAGTGAATGTAAGTGAATTAAGGGATGAATGTGCAGAGAATAAAGGGTGAATGTGTTGAGAATGAAGTGCTTAATTGTTAGTAAATTAATGGGTGATTGTACAGTGAATTAATGGTTGAATGTGCAGTGACTTAATGGTTGAATGTGCAATGAATTAAGTAGTGAAATACAGTGAATGAAGTGGTTAATTTGGTAGTAAATTAAGGGATGTTTGTACAGTGCATTAATGTGTGTGTGTACAGTGAGTGAGTGAATGAATGGTTTTACTCCGCTTTTAGCAATATTCCAGCAATATCACAGCCGTGAATGTACAGTGAAATAATGGGTGAATTACAGTGAATTAAGTGTAGAATGTGTAGGATATTTGAGGACACCTTACTTGTTTGTAGTTGCAGTGGAAATACAGGAGATTAAAGGTATTACTGATTAGGGATTCCAGTAGCGATGAAGGCGTTTTAGAACTGTTTATTTGGAGTTATATTGGATTTTAGTGGAGTTTATTTTGCAGCTACAAGGGATTTCAAAAGTTTTCATTTATAGTAATATGGAATTTTAGTAGTGTTATTTTTGTACCTATATGGGATTTCAGTCGTGTTTATTTGTAGTTATATCGGATTTCAGTAGTGTTTATTTGTAGCTATATTGGATTTCAGTCGTGATTATTTGTAGCTATATTGGATTTCAGTCGTGTTTATTTGTAGCTATATTGGATTTTAGTCGTGTTTATTTGTAGCTATATCGGATTTCACTAGTGTTTATTTGTAGCTATATTGGATTTCAGTCGTGTTTATTCGTAGCTATATCGGATTTCATTATCATTTTATTTGTAGCTATATTGGATTTCAGTGGTGTTTATTTGTAGCTATATCGGATTTCAGTAGTGTTTATTTGTAGCTATATTGGATTTCAGTGGTATATATTTGTAGCTATATTGGATTTTAGTAGTGTTTTTATTTGTAGCTATATTGGATTTCAGTAGTGTATATTTGTAGCTATATTGGATTTCAGTAGTGTATATTTGTAGCTACATGTATATTGGATTTCAGTAGTGTTCATTTGTAGCTATATTGGATTTCAGTCGTGTTTATTTTTAGCTATATTGGATTTTATGAGTAGTTACCTGTCGCTTTGTGGAACACCAGAGTTACTTAGTCACATTGTCTTTGGTCATTCTACACCTATATTAGGCTTGTGCATACCATATTGCTCGACAAACACGTTGTTTGTAAACTTTAATCTTATATCTCCGCATAACAAATCCTCCGCGTCGGCAGCCAAAGGCCACAGTGCATTGATGTTGTGAATTGAATGATGCGTTTATAAAATCACACATAGATATAGCAACTAAGTCTGACATTGATGTAAAATTCAGTCCGGGCCTTGAAAAGATGATTCTCTGAAGAGCATAACCTCGTGATTTATGATGTGTTAGAGCAAAACTTGTTTTTAAAAATAGATTTAACATATGTATCCGATTCAATGAACTTAGATACGCCAAACACGTATCACCCATTGCGAATCTAAAACATGATCCAGGTAATGCAGGTCGCAGACTTTGTCCACTTGGGTGAAACCCCAGGAGCACAGGTGCACTGCTGACAAACCGCATAATCGGGGCGCACCGGGATTCGAACCAATCATCACAGGTTTCTGGGGTGCCTTAGGGACGCAACTCTGCATAGCGAATCGCGAGGCCTTAGACAACTGGGCCATCCGTGCCCCCGCGTGTTATAGGACAATACAGGGATGCGTTTGTCATCCTCGGAACCCAGGGGTGTTTTAGAAGGACGCACATTGGGCATGTAGAGTCGAACCAACTTACACCCGTGAAGATCCGGGGTAGAATAGGTCTTCAGCAACCCATGCGTGCCGGTTAAGGCGACTGTGCTTGTTGAGGCGACTAACGGGATCAGGGGGTCAGTCTCGCTGACTTGGTTGATGAATGCCATCGTATACCAAATGCGTGCATCGAAGCCCATGATGTCAATCACTGGATCGTCTGGTCCAGACTCGATTATTTGCAGACCGTCGTCATATATTGCTGGAATATTGCTGAGTGCGGCGTTAAAAACAAACAAACAAACAAACAACATGGAAGTCCGGCGCTCTACAGCATGGATGCAATGTGGCAGTTCACTCCCTCACACCCAGAACATCTTGTCACCGAGCCTCAAAGCTACCGCTATGAAAACAGTCCAAAATACTCATCCAATTAATCCACTGTCTGAAACAAAACCAAAAGTGTTGTGAGGTGAGTTGGTTCAAAGAAATGCAAATCGCTCACTTTTACCTTTGCCGGAGCCCATTAGCAACTGTGTGGTGCTGACAAACCAGCCCAACCCAGGACAGCAAAGTGCGTCACTTTACACAACATGACTTCTCATGCCCACCAGGTTCTGAAGTTCGAAACCACTCACTCACTCACTCACTCACTCATATGAACTAAGGACACGTACTAGGGTACCAGACGCAGGAGATTTAAGTAAGACAAAAATGAGAGTGAATGAGTGAGTGAGAATATCATGGCGGAAGATAGCACAAAATGTTCCACATTTTGCACCAATGTTGCCCCCTGGAGTTTTTTTTATATACAAAACAGTTTTATTTGAATCATGAAAATACAACTAAGACAAAATTGTCATGGATGAGCAACTTCTTTCTTACAATTGGGCGACGTAATAAAGAAGTTGCTCATCCATAATAATTTTGTCTTAGTTACCATTCCAACTTCTAAATGCCACTCAAAGAAGTTATGAAAATACAAGTTTTGTACAAATATTTGCCCCACTGTCAAAAAAAAGTTAACTACGGCCTTGGTTTCAGTGTCTGTGTGAGAGACTGCGATAACCCCACATTCAAAAGAGTTCCTTGTCGACATAACCGGGAAGAGGTTGGGAAATAAATGTACAAAGTGGAGGCAAGAGCTTTGTTTTTTCCTACAGAAGGATCAGTTTGGTTCTGTGAGGAACTTGCGCAGTTCGGGATACCGAGCCATTCGTGACCAACTCGTGTTATTCCGGGACAAGCCGAATAGCGACTCGTGCCTCACTCGTGCCCATTTTTGCGACTGGGTTCCGCCTAAGCGCAAACGGGCATAACTAAAAGAATTGTCATTCGTTGCGTAATGATTCACGTATATTTCCCCGCATATATCATATATATTCCTGATGCTACTGAAAACACATTGGGGCTTACATTATTATACAATAAAGTTGAACATGTTTAAATGTATCTAGAGTATATTTTTAAATTCAAGACTTATGTAAAATCAAAAATTATTCCTGAGGGATTCTTTGGCCGAAGTAATTGTAAGTCATACGTGCATTCTGATTGGTTTGTCGTATTTTCGCAAATACCATTTATTGATAGGGGGACGAGACTTCTTGTAGGTTACGGAAAGGGGCGAGTGGTTACGAATGGATACCGAGCGCAAAAGGCGCTTCGGCTGACTGGAAGTAGGGATGTCTCGCCGAAGGTCACACTGATCGCATCTTTTGATGATTGTAAATACGTCATACTCGAGATCTCCAAACAATAATGGGGTTAAGGGTGGCCCAGTCGTCTAAGGCGCCGCGATTCGTTGTGCAGAGTTGCGTCCCTTCGGCACGCCAGAAACCTGATTGTGGGTTAGAATCCCGGTTCGCCCCGAATATGTGTCTAGGTTTTTCAGCACCATACCCGTGCTCGTTGGTTTATCGAAGTGGTAAACGTCTGAGACCTGCATCACTTCGGGCTTTCCTCCCACATTAAGCTGACACGCCGTGATATAACTGGAATACTGTTAAAAGCGGCGTTAAACCCAACTCACTCACTCACTCACTCACTCCAAACAATTGAAGGTGCAGGACTCTGCACTTTGTGTTAGAAATATTCTCCTGCTAAGTCATTTGCCCAACGTGGCAAATATTACTTGTGATAACCCTTACCTCGTGACGTCAGTGACCACGCATCAATGGCACGTTCTTCATATGATGAGGAAAGACGAACTTATCGCTATATATAATCTAATTTTAGCCAGCCCACTGTGTTGAGGTTCCCATTGCCTGCTCTATATGACAGGACAAGGTCACGTGATGGTATTTGTTTCTTAATGTCATACATGCTTAAATAAACAGAGATAACTTGAAAGTGACCTCATGCATTTCAATTTGAAATGCCGGTGTGTTGACTGTTTGTTTGTTTGTTTGTTTGTTGTTTAACGCCGCACTCAGCAATCTTCCAGCTATATGACGGCGGTCTGTAAATAATCGAATCTAGAGCAGACAATCCAGTAATTGATATCATAAGCATCGATCCACGCAATTGGGATACGGTGACATGCATCAACCAAGTCAGCAAGCCCGACCACCCGATCCCGTTAGTCGCCTCTTACGGCAAGCATGGGTTGCTGGAGACCTGTGCTACCCCGGATCTTCATGGGTCGTGTTGACTGTTATTCTGGGGGTGGTCAGTGATTACTACTGACGGCGATGGATAACCTTTACACTCAGACAGTAATCGGGAACAGGATATCGTAGAGGATTTAATTGTCAACACAGCAGCTCACATCCCGCCTTATGTTGTCGTCCGTCTAACTTCTTAATTGGCACTAGACACGCACTACAACTGGTTTAACACTAGACACGCACTACAACTGGTTTAACACTAGACACGCACTAGAACTTGTTTGTACCGTATCAGGAGATAGTTCTGTGGTGAATGCGTTCGCTCGTCTGCACGGATATCAAGGCCGTAGTTAACTTTTTTTGACAAGGGGGGGGGGGGCAAATATTTGTACAAGTATTACTTGTCCCCAACTTGTATTTTCATGATTCAAATATAACTGTTTTCTATAAAGCTGTTGTGCTTAGTGCAAAATCAAGCAAGAGTCAGAAAACTGGTTTAAAAACAGTAAACGTGATACACGCTCTCTCGCATCGCTATCGCAGGCAGCCGAGTGGTCGCGTGAACGGTTCAATACAAGCTGAGCTGAGCGCTCTCCGCACGAGCCAAACAGCCTCTGTTCCCTGTCTCCGTTCATCATCGTCCGCCAATAGCCGAGCTCGTGACGACGACCGGTCGACAGACTCACTCTAACGCTGTATGGAGGGGAGTTCTGCTGACCAATCGAGGAACGTGACCACGTCCTCAACAACGATGTCGCGTCATTACCTACCACAGCCGACGATGGATCTTGTGTTACTGACGCCGGACGCGAGACAGGCTTTATGTGTTGGGCAGGTTTTCCCAGTGGAGATTCACCGCTGCTTGGGATGACGAACTGCTGGAGTTTCTAACAGAACTGGATTATAACGGTGCCATGTGAATTGGATTATAGTGCCCTGTTGGAAGAGTGTAGGAGATTCCACGACCAGAGTGTTGTCACATATATGGAATATACACCTTTTTCTGTTGGATGTGACATCTGTGGTTTCCATGACAGCTCTGACAACACTTATCAGTCCCACAAGTAAACAGCAGCTCCTCGCTAGCGCGTCACGTGACCGGTGTTTATTTCGGGCCGTGAGACAACACATCCTGTGTCGTCATACAGTGGAGCTATTCACCAGTCTGACGTCATCCGACGGGCTGAGGGCGAGCTGTAGGCGCTACTGCTGTTTGAAGTGTAGGTAAAACAGTTTCTAATTTTTACATGCATGAACACTTATAATTATGATTAACGATTATCGCTGATTAGAATTGATCATTCATTGTGAATTAGAATATGCATACATATATGCATGCATGTTTGTGTGTGTGTTGTGTGTGTGTATTATTATTATTTTTATTATTATTATTATTATTTGAGGTTTCCACGATATACTTCTTTCTACCGGAAGAGGGGCCGGTCAATTTGTGTATGAACGCAAATGACGTTCATACGTTTTTCGCGAGACTGTATTGTTGAGATGACGTAAACACTGCACTGACGCCGACTTCCACATTCCTAGGGAAAACTCTTGGAATTCGTGTCTAGACTGACAGTTACAGTCTACAGCAATCTATGAATTGACCTTAGCCTCTGTTTGTCACCTCTTTATAATCACCTGCCAATGATCAGCCAAGTGATCTATGATGACCACACATGTAACCGCCAAAGTTTATAAACAATTTCGGAAATCTCTTCCGTCACGTTTATCGTGTCGGTCATTTTGACGTCTTGTACTTGATGTAAATGTATTACGACGCGCTGTCATTGTGAAGAACTTACTGAGATAGTTCTTAAACACACCTTTCTCACCAAAAGATGATATTAATTGAATACATGTCTTGTAAACTAACTACCACAGATGTTCCTGTAAAGCAAGTTGAGCATACATATGCTCATGTCACCTCCCTTTTGGGGAACTGTTTTATTCGCAATACAGCTGGTTGTTGTATGGCTCTCAGTGTAAACATGAAGTCAAACGTACATATCCACCGCTACATCCCTCGAGGTAAAACATGAAGTCACACGTACAGATCCAACGCTACATCCCTCGAGGTAAAACATGAAGTCACACGTACAGATCCAACGCTACATCCCTCGAGGTAAAACATGAAGTCACACGTACAGATCCAACGCTCCATCCCTCGAGGTAAAACATGAAGTCACACGTACAGATCCAACGCTCCATCCCTCGAGGTAAAACATGAAGTCACATGTATAGATCCACCGCTGCATCCCTCGAGGTAAAACATGAAGTCAAACGTATAGATCCACCGCTGCATCCCTCGAGGTAAAACATGAAGTCACATGTATAGATCCAACGCTACATCCCTCGCGGTAAAACATGAAGTCACACGTACAGATCCAACGCTACATCCCTCGAGGTAAAACATGAAGTCACACGTATAGATCCAACGCTCCATACCTCGAGGTAAAACATGAAGTCACATGTATAGATCCAACGCTACATCCCTCGAGGTAAAACATGAAGTCACACGTACAGATCCAACGCTCCATCCCTCGAGGTAAAACATGAAGTCACATGTATAGATCCACCGCTGCATCCCTCGAGGTAAAACATGAAGTCAAACGTATAGATCCACCGCTGCATCCCTCGAGGTAAAACATGAAGTCACATGTATAGATCCAACGCTACATCCCTCGCGGTAAAACATGAAGTCACACGTACAGATCCAACGCTACATCCCTCGAGGTAAAACATGAAGTCACACGTATAGATCCAACGCTCCATACCTCGAGGTAAAACATGAAGTCACATGTATAGATCCAACGCTACATCCCTCGAGGTAAAACATGAAGTCACACGTATAGATCCAACGCTACATCCCTTTGAGGTAAAACATGAAGTCACACGTATAGATCCACCGCTCCATACCTCGAGGTAAAACATGAAGTCACACGTATAGATCCAACGCTCCATACCTCGAGGTAAAACATGAAGTCACACGTATAGACCCAACGCTCCATACCTCGAAGTAAAACATGAAGTCACACGTATAGATCCAACGCTCCATACCTCGAGGTAAAACATGAAGTCACACGTATAGACCCAACGCTCCATACCTCGAAGTAAAACATGAAGTCACACGTATAGATCCAACGCTCCATACCTCGAGGTAAAACATGAAGTCACACGTATAGATCCACCGCTCCATACCTCGCGGTAAAACATGAAGTCACACGTATAGACCCAACGCTCCATACCTCGAGGTAAAACATGAAGTCACACGTATAGATCCAACGCTCCATACCTCGAGGTAAAACATGAAGTCACACGTATAGATCCACCGCTACATCCCTCGCGGTAAAACATGAAGTCACACGTATAGACCCAACGCTCCATACCTCGAGGTAAAACATGAAGTCACACGTATAGATCCAACGCTCCATACCTCGAGGTAAAACATGAAGTCACACGTATAGATCCAACGCTCCATACCTCGAGGTAAAACATGAAGTCACACGTATAGATCCAACGCTCCATACCTCGAGGTAAAACATGAAGTCACACGTATAGACCCAACGCTCCATACCTCGAGGTAAAACATGAAGTCACACGTATAGACCCAACGCTCCATACCTCGAGGTAAAACATGAAGTCACACGTATAGATCCAACGCTCCATACCTCGAGGTAAAACATGAAGTCACACGTATAGACCCAACGCTCCATACCTCGAGGTAAAACATGAAGTCACACGTACAGATCCAACGCTCCATACCTCGAGGTAAAACATGAAGTCACACGTACAGATCCAACGCTCCATACCTCGAGGTAAAACATGAAGTCACACGTATAGACCCAACGCTCCATACCTCGAGGTAAAACATGAAGTCACACGTACAGATCCACCGCTACATCCCCGAGGTAAAACATGAAGTCACAAGTATAGATCCAACGCTCCATACCTCGAGGTAAAACATGAAGTCACACGTATAGACCCAACGCTCCATACCTCGAGGTAAAACATGAAGTCACACGTACAGATCCACCGCTCCATACCTCGGGGTAAAACATGAAGTCACACGTATAGATCAAACGCTGCATCCCTCGGGGTAAAACACAGTGATATAAAAGTTAATAAGAATTGACTTTCACTCTCTGTGAGGTCATTGGAGTATGCACCTCCAAAGGGTGAGGGCCAAACATTGTATGAACATCGTCGCAAGCTCCATTGTTCATACAGTCGCAAGCTCCGACGTCCATACAATCGTACAGTCGCAAGCTCCATTGTCCATACAGTCGCAAGCTCCAACGTTCATACAGTCATACAGTCGCAAGCTCCATTGTTCATACAGTCGCAAGCTCCATTGTTCATACAGTCGCAAGCTCCGACGTCCATACAATCGTACAGTCGCAAGCTCCATTGTCCATACAGTCGCAAGCTCCAACGTTCATACAGTCATACAGTCGCAAGCTCCATTGTTCATACAGTCGCAAGCTCCATTGTTCATACAGTCGCAAGCTCCATTGTCCATACAGTCGCAAGCTCCAACGTTCATACAGTCATACAGTCGCAAGCTCCATTGTTCATACAGTCGCAAGCTCCATTGTTCATACAGTCGCAAGCTCCGATGTCCATACAGTCGCAAGCTCTAACGTTCATACAGTCATACAGTCGCAAGCTCCATTGTTCATACAGCGTGGCCCTCACTCTATAAAGGTTCATACTCCAATTGTGTTTGTATGTGTTTGTGTATTTGTTGGTGTGTGTGTGTGTGTGTGTGTGTGTCCACAACATGTCCATTCCCAGAATATTATTGTTCACACAGTGAATGGACAGGTGTGCTTTAGTCCAATCGCCAATGAGACATCCTTCAACACCTTCTATGTATATATATTGGTGTAGTCGTGATGAAGCTATCGTGTCTTCTGTAGTGACAATGACAACGTTCATAGTCGCATAAATTTCTCACATCAATGCTATAGGCACTTTGACATTTCATAGTACGCTAATGCGATTGGTAAAATCAATAACGCATCCATAATGTCATGTATCTGTACGTAGTGGTTGAGAGCAGCGTGAAAAAAGTATGTCTGACATTTACTTGGCGTAAGTCTGAATCGCAATTACTTCCAAAAATGCTTCTAGGCCATGGTCCAATTATTCAGATAAATTTAATGCTATTTATACAACTCTAACAAGGCGACAAGACGGTTCCAGCTCTCATCGAAGGGGTCGTGACTGGAGTTGGGAGGGGGCGTGGCGGGAGTTTTTTGGGGTCAAGAGTTTGCACATACCATAGCATGTTCGACATGTTTTATTCGACAAAGTGTTCTTACCAGTTGAAAGATGCGGTGGGGTGTATTGGTGATGGGGACCTCTGGAGAGGCTCTCCGACACAGTAAGCCGCCACCCACCCATCCAGCCACAAGCACAAAGCCGCCAACCCAACCCCCATCCCTACCCCTACCCCAACCCCCACCCCCACCCTTAACCCCAACACCTCCGCTACTCACATATACCGGGTCCGACAGTGAAAAGTTATCGTAGTTTTGACATTGTCAAGATAACCTGCCTTGAAATAGGCATTGGCGTACCGGCAGAACAGTATGTGTTATTAATGGGAATGGAGGAACGTTACAGTCGATACAGCCTCGACGTAGCAAAAATTGTGTGTTTTAATAACAAACAAACCAAATATAGAACCATGAAGGGTTTGTTATTCTGGTTAACTTGCAGGGCAACTGTGGTTGTGACAGACGAGGATCAATGAAGCCGCGTCGAGTTTAATGTAGTTTATTCAATGCTCCACTGAAATATAGTTTTGTTTAGTACACGACACCGGGGTGTTCTGAATGTTTAGTACTCGACACCGGTGTGTTCTGAATGTTTAGTAAACGACACCGGTGTGTTCTTAATGTTTGTACTCGACACCGGTGTGTTTTGAATGCTTTGTACTCAACACTGGTGTGTCCCGAATGTTCGACGCCGGTGTGTTCCGAATGTTTAGTACTCGACACCGGTGTATTCCAAATGTTTGTACTCGACACCGGTGTGGTTCCGAATATTTTAGTTATGGACACCGGTTTGTTTCGAATGTTTCAAACAACTCCTTCGTTAAACCTCTATTTTAATTATTTTGGGGAAAATCTTTCAAATATATATTTTGTTTAACTGCTTGATGAGGCTGTGCCAGGCGCCGCTTTTACGATTTGAAGAGTTGCGGTCCTTT